CTAATTTTCACAATTGCCATTACACCAGTTTTTGGCCACAGATTACTGAATTTGGAGCTAATCAAAAAGAAAGATGCATTTAGTCCAGGTGTTGAAAATTTTAACATTATGGGTCAATGAGCACAAAGCTTCCTTAAAAGGATTAGACAATGAAGGCAATAAAAATATCTGTATTTCATCAATCAAATGATTTTTCTACACTAAGAAAACTTGGACACACAATAGTGGAAGAGCCAATGTAAATAGGGAGAATTATCTTGCCAGTATAGGCACATTTATCCTTTTTCTCTAGCTTCTTGGAAGTTGAGAAATTTGACATTAGACTTCAGAGAATAGAATTAGCTCACTGCATTAAATTTAGGGGTGCACCAATACAGATTTTTGGGGCCGATGCCAATAGCCAATTTTTAAGGAGGCATATCAGCTGATACTAATCCAATTTCTGATATGCAGCTCTTCATCTTGAAAAGCTGCATCCAGGTGGTAAGTCTGGTGTGGCGGAAGAGGAGGGAAGGGGTGTGGGGTGCAGATCAAGGCTCCTCTGTGAGGAAGGGAATGGAGCTGGGGTTGAGGCAGCTGCTGACCAGCCAGGGAGGGGAGGGGCATGGGACAGAGCCACAAGAGGCTTGTCCAGAGGGCGAGGCATGTGCTCCCGGATCTGCCACGGTGTGGGGCAGGCGTGGGACAGAGGTGCGGCTCGTCGAGGGGGAGGGGCAGGGTGGCTTGGCTCACACCCTTGCACGTGGCTCATCCGGTGCTCATCTGGCAGTTTCTGCAGCTGGTCCAGGAAAGCATGTGCCCCTAGATTAGCCCAGCCAGGAAGAGCCCAGGCCCAGCCCGCCCCACCCCACATAGATCCAGGGGTGTACAACGACCTCCTCCCGCACCATACGAATGGTGGGAGCCACCAGATGAGCACTGGACACACCGCACGCAGTGGTGGGAGCTGCCCCTCCCCAACAAACTATAATTCTGTTCAGCACCTGCCCCGGCCCCCCCTGGGCAAACTCTGCCCCAACCCTACAGCCTCCCTCAGCATGGGGGCCTTGATCATCCCTATGGTGAGATCCCTTTGCATCTGTCAATTGTAAGTATTTATTACCAACAACAATTTAAGAGAGAGAACTATTTGCTTTCAAACGGTTCTGCTGGGCTGCTCATTAGAACCACCTCTGCTGTTTGTAAACTGAACAGCAAGATAATGCATTGAATCCTACAATCATTTGTAGAATCACTTTTTTGTAGAAGCCTGTTTTAAGGTTAAAATCCCATTAGCTCAAAAGTTCTGGATATATTCGGATTTATTACTTGTATGGAAGAAAAGCAACTGGGCGGACAGTTGTAACATGATCACTTAATATTACATATGAAAAATGAGGTAAGGTATACCCAAAGACATAAGACTACAGGGGGTACAGAAGAGGTTGTATTCATACACTTGATTTTTTGTAATTAAATATTTGTTACAAGAAAGACTATAAAATATGTTCTCTTACCAACTACCATGAGAGTAAACTCAAAGCCCTTTTTCACAGACTTCCGATGAACCTGGTTGGGAAGGTTTGCAAATCCAACATAACCAGGAGTTTCTGGATTGGTAAACTGGGCAGGCTGTTGCTAAATAAAATGAAGAAGATTATATAGATCCTGTAGGTTGAAATAGCAGAAGACAGCTAAAGGTTGCAATTACAGTCAGTGACCAGTGTGAAAGGTTTTCAGGTCTCAAGGTTAAGGAGCTTCTCTGTTGCTCTTATTCTCTAAATAGAGGGGGGCACTCAAGTTTGAATCTTGCTGTTTTAGCGTTGAGCCCACTCTATTTCAGAGCATCCTGTGATAGTTGCCACCACTTTGGGAAGTTACTCCTCAACTCTTAGTGCGAAAGAACCCAAATCAGTAGGTCTTTAAGCACATGATCTTAGCTCACAGGACCAAGAAGCAACCCTGTGGACTAAGATTCCTACAAGGCCTATTTTTCCCTTGAGGCTTTTAGGAAGGGAGAATAGTTGGAGATGCAAATAAGTTGCTCATTCTATTTGCATTGCTTTTTTTTCTAAATAACTGTCAAAGATGCCCAATGTAACAGATGAACAGTGTTTATGTACATGGTGTTAAAAGGCTAGATATACAAATGATTGACTAAACTTCCACAAATCAATTCAACAGCAGTATTTAAATATCAAAGTTGTCACTGACGAAGTAGATAAGGTCAGCTTTGTTTCATTGACTTTGTTCCCAGATTAGTAGTGAGATATACTTTTCTCCAAGTGTTGAAATCATGACCCACGTTCGCAGTACAGAAACGTTTTGTAATACTTTAGAAGTTTAGCTAGTTTTCAAAATATTTTAGGTATTCAAGCTATCCCTCCCAGAACTATAGCATATATTGTTTAAGATATAGAAATGTTCTGAAATGTACATTAAATATTACTTTAACATGGTATAGTGTGGTTGCTAATCACACAAACTTCTTTGTAAAAAAACCCTTTATTTGCAAGGTTTAACACCATTTTTATAAGTAGACACATGGATAGAACTTGTGGAACAAAATGAAGAGTGAAAGCTTAACTCTATACTTCTAAGCGATAATGACAGACAAATTAAAAACAAAAAACTAAAAAAAAAAATACTACAGTTTGTCATGTCCTGATGGCCATAAGTTGAAGGTAGTGCACTGAAGGACAGCTAAAAAAAGAAACGAACCGATTTGATAAGGGATGGTTCCTTCAAGACCAAACTAATCTATAATTGATCATTAAAAGGAACAACAGAGGCTGCTCTAGAAAGACTCCCAGCTTTCATTTCCAGTTTACAAACAGAAGTACAACTCTAAAAAAACCCCCCAAAACCCCAACTGGAAGACATCTTTAGACATAGCAATGAATCTGTCCAAACATAATACTAAAGCATTTTCCAGAATTTATTTCACTGCCAAAAGGTACATCAGACATTTTGATTCCTACACATATTACAAATGCAATACAAATTTCTACATATTACAGAATATGTAGAATCAGTACCCTGTTGAAATTATATATGGTATAGGCATGTTGGGGTGCGTGTGTGAATAGATTTATATCTATGTGCATCTATCTGTGCACGTGTGTGTGCGTGCGCGTATGCGCATATATTATATATGGCTTTTGTCATAATACTTTTAATGAGGTTGTTTTTACAGTCTTGTTACAGGTGTTTGTTGACTCTTCAGCTTTGCTCTTTTAGCAAGGGATTAACAACTACTTTTGCTCACTGCAAGATCAGACATCTTGAAAATATGAAAATACTACACCTAGGGATTTACTCACGTGAGGGTGCGCTGCTTCAGTAGAAAAACAAGCAGTTTCTGGAAGATATTTTACATAATTTGCTGGGCTGTTTTGATTTATAATCTACCTAAAGAAACACCCTTTCTGAGCATTTTTGGGGATAAACTTTACCCAGTATTGAGATATTCAATATTTATTCTCATTTCATAAATTCAGCCTTATTCCGTAAACCTAATTATGGAGGACAACTTTAAAGTCTTTATAGTCATTATACATAAAGGAAATGTTACAGGTTCTCTGCTTTACATTTTTTGTTTTTCAGAAATTTAAAACTTTTCCATTATGTTCAAAGATACAAACATTGTTCTTACCTTGGACATCTTTGTGGAAGTTCAGTCAATTTGTACAGAGATAGAATTTTTCCAGCTTATTACAAACTGAAAAATATAAAAACAAACACACCCATACAATATCTGAGAGTAAATTAAAAAAAAAATCCACCCCCGAGTCCCCCACCAAACATTATGAACTAAATGCATTTGACACCCAGCATCTGGACCATTCTGAACAATTTCTTGATAAATGCTGATCTTTGTGTCTGTTGATTTGTATGAATAGAGCAGGGTTTTCAAAGACCCACCTGCACTTAATTTCACTCCTATATTAATATCAATAGAAAGTAAAAATAATAGAGTGGGATTTTCAAAAGCACTAATTGCATTAAATGTTTTTTTAAAACCTGGAAAAATATAAAGGTTACGTACTTCATACAAACTAACCAAACCATACCCATTACTAAAGATACCTTACCAGAGTACAGGAAACAACTTTTCAGAGTTCAAACAAAAAGCACGTAGTTTCTTTTTTTTCCTCCTCCCCCACACTTCCTTTTTCATTACTTATAGGACCTTAAAAAATTCATGTGGTATCTTCTCTCTGGCCTTACTGCCTATAGATTCACCCATACAATCAAATCCATTCAAATACTGATGCTACCATCACTTTGCTGGTTCACTGTTCAGACTTCTGGTCGCTTTTGAATAATTTCCTTTCCCCCCCCGCCCTTCCATCACTTTTTAAAAAGAAAACAGCCTTCTTGTTCTTACTAAAAAAACACTCCTCACTTAAACCTCACCCTACCTGTCCAGCTGACCTTCACCTTTGCTCTACTGATGCCAAACTCATTCATCTGATTCTCTGCTTATTTGCTAAGAACTTCCTTCGTTCCCTTCTCCCCCTCTCCCAATCTCAAGAATGGAGAAAAATTGTCCAATCAACACCCATAAAGCCTCCACTTTGCCCCTTCAAATCCCTCATCAAAATTCACCTCTTCTCCCATGCACTCTATGATCTGACAACAAGCTGGACCACACAGAGAACTAATGGTTTCTACTGACAGGGTAATAAAATGAGTTGTCTTAAGTAAAATACAAACATGAGAACTTGACTGCTCATGGTCACTTAATACTGAAGAAAACTCCACTTTACAACAAAGGTGTTAACTATGACATCCCACAAGTTACCAGTCCTACAATGCGAGTAAGTGCCAATAATTTGAGGAAGCAGAAATGACCAAGTCTTATCTGCCTAGGACAGTAGTTTTCAAAGTGCTCCATGGGACCCTGGGGTTCTGTGACGAGGGCAATGGCAGAGAAGGCCACCAGGCAGTGCGCGGCCACTGCCAGACCAAGTTGCCTGGCTGCGTCAGGTTTTAGGGCAGGGGTTGGGGTTCCAGGACTTTCAGAAACTTGGATACTACTAGCCTAGGAAAAAAAGACTGCTTTTAAACTTAAACGTTATTTGGGAGGGATGAATTTGATGGGGTGCTCCCCATGCCAGTTACTCAGAAGTGCAAACTAGTGCAAAACCCAGCAGTAAATGTTATTCCACACTGTCAGTACATAAATGCTAGCGTCCCAGGATTTGCAAGTTTCCAGACAGAATTTGAGAAGCTGGGCTTAACTGATGATGCCCTCAATTGTCTGAGACTGTTCTTCATAAGACATTAGGGCCTCATGTCAAGCTGTTGCAGCAGGGATCTGTAACAGCACTTGAGGTTCATCAGTAGGAGGCGGCCTACTGCCAGCAGGCTGTTCACCATGAGCGATTCCTGCTTTTTGAAACACTCTCTCAGTCTAGCAGGGCACCGTTAACTAGCTTCCCAGGAACATTACACGGCCTATCATTCCACCTGGGTATTTTTGGGGGAGGCAGGCAGAGAGACAAAAAAGTTTTATTACAGATACAGGGGCAGGATATTTAAACTTGCTTGTAGATATTTGTATATTTAGTTGCTAGAGATCTATTTATCAAGTGGTTTTCATATTTATCATGAAAGTGGGATTATGTAAGAATACATGTTTTGTAAACCTGAATACAAAATAGAGATAGTTACCACTATCAACTGCTATGCTCAAGACCTCTTCCTAACAGCATCTCTCTAAAACACTGTAAAAGTCTAACAGCATCACATGGAGACAAATGCCTTCCCTATAAGTAAACATATTAACTCAGGAAGCCTCAGGCTCCTAATAACAGGAGGGTAGCAAAGAGAAGCAGGTCACCAAGCCCTGACTCATGCTCAAGGTTCCCGTTAGAAATGGGGCTAAGCAGCCAGCACCCAGCCTCTCTCCTCCAGACCACAGCTGGTTGGCACAACTGCCCTGCCCCGACAAACCTACGCTACTCTGGCAAAAGCGCTTGCTCAGGTTTGCTGCAAGCACCTGGAAGAGAAACGTTTGGCAGCAGTAGCACGGCGCAAAGACACCCACGGCCCCACACAGCCGCCGCCTGCCCCTCGCC